CGGTTTAAGACAGTAATTGGCTCCTCGACTTCTCTACAAAACACTCGCCCTCCCCACGGACGGAAGGAGCACATTCCCTGATGCACACTAGTCATTTTTATTTTTGGACACGTTGTCCTAAGGAGACACAGTGTTCTTCCCACAGATCAGTGATAAATTAAATGTGACTGGTACCCCGAGGGCAGACTTAACTGTGATAGTCGGGGGTTACGTGGAGGGGTAGAAAATGCACTTCTGTGTGGAACACGGTCTGTAAGCCTCATAATATGGATTATGTTTAGTAATTACAGATGCTTTTATGGCGGAGAGGAGATGCAGGTTGGAAGTTTTTCAACACAAATATAATTTTGGAACTTTAAAATTTTTTATGATACCCATGTAATAAGAGAACTAGTATTTGGTCCTTTCAAAATTGATCTCTCCCAGATGCTTGCCAGGAACTCTGTCGGATAATTATCCAAATTAGAGTATTAGAGCGAAAAGAAAGAAACACAATATTATGGTAAGTGTGAAGCAAACAGAAGGAGTTCCCGTGTAGTCGTCCGTATCAGGCTATCAGTAATGGCAATAATCGTTAACGTGGTGTCAGCAATACTTGCTCAGGCGTTTGGCTTACGTTGTGGGTCGCCCCTAGGACGCCAGTAGTTATTGGTCGAAAAGAGGACCCCAAGCGTTTCTGATGGGCGTTTTAGGGGGTAAGAAAAATGGGATCTCACGGAAAACTTATAACCGTGTGAGTTGGCAAGAGGCAAGAAAAGCGGTCACAGGCAGGATCCGTATGTTGGAAGAGCCTAAGGCTCGTAAAGGGTAGAGTGTGGTTTCCCCCCCCCCAGATGCCAGGTCATCGATAGACAGAAACCCGCCCTTGTGTGGGCCAGAGCCAAGGGCAGGCGCCAATAAAGGGGCCCAGACGTCGAGCTGGTGAGCGTGAAAGGCCCCTCTGCAGGGGCCCGGATGTGCGTGAGCGGTGACACCATTGACCACAAGGGCCCCCAGGGTCTTGAGCGCAATGAAAACCCGTTCTGGGGCCAGACGGGCCTGGCTTTGAGCCTGAGCTCTGCGTTTTCTTGCTGTGTAGCCGTGGGCAAGCTGCTTAACTTCTCAGTGCCTCCGTTTTCCTCATCTGTAAAATCAGAAATAGAAAAGCGGTGACTCCGTGGGTTGTTGTAAAGAGTAAATAACTTCATCCATGGAAAGCGTTAGCCAAGGCCCTACACCTAGGAAGCCACAGAGATGGTGACCATCAGACCATTTAGTCTCTTTTTTGATGGTGACGTGTAATTATTTTCTGGACTGAGGAAGAGATACCCATTCCGTAATTTATAATAAAATTAAAATTATGCAAAAAATCCAAATAAAGGACCAAAAAGAAATAAGTACAGTGGCTAGTGATGGTTGTCTTAGGGCAGTCGGTGGCCCTTGTTTTTTTTCTTTACTTTCTTTCCCAAATCATCAGCTGTATAACTTCATTTATTTTTCATGGGAAAGGCATATTAAAACCACCTTTTCTTCCTAATTGGCAGATCTGTGAGTAGACACCCAGAGACTAATTATCTCTGTCACTTCTTTAAAGCGAGTGCGTTTAACGCAGGGGAGCGGTGTTGGCAGACGGGCGGCTTGAGGAGGCTCATTAGGACCTGCCCAGGGCACGTTCGGTAGCTTTTGTTCGGCGTCAAGGTGGGAGTTTGTTCTTCCGTGATGAGAGGCCTTCGATTCTCCGATGGGTGCATGCGGGTGACAGCTGAGAACCAGGCAGCACACAAATAAAATCGGTCGCCTCCTCGGGGGCGAGCTTTCTTCTGAATGAGGGGGACAGAGAGCATGCAGACGGGGAGACGGTAAGAAAGGCTTTCCCAGGGCACAACTCCTCTCGCTTTATCAGCAGCCTCAGCAGGGTAGCCCGCCGAGGTCAAGCACAGCCTTTCATGGGAGTTTGGAGGGAGTAGCTGACAAAGGAGACGGGCAGGAAGCTCCTGTGGAGAGGCACTGGCGAGGCTGCGGGCTGCAGATATCTTTCTCGGGTAGGCAGGATTTTTCTTCTAAGAAGATAACCTCCTCTGGGGGTTTCCATAATTGCCGCGAACTCCTTCCCGGTTCATAAAGAAACCCACCCCCGTGGCTTCCACGGGGCTGCGATGACGGTGGGTGGTTGGCACACGCGCTCAGGCCCCCTGCTCCCCTCATCGGCGATCCCAACGATATCCAATTAGACGTGGCCTCGCTGGGCCC